ATGAACCTCGGGTCTGGCCCCACTCCGGGCCGATGAGCACTGCGCACGCCGCCCTCTATCTGCCCCCGGGCCTCGGCTGGGAAGTCAGCAGCGCCCGGACAAGAAACTCAAGGACGGCGCAGGGCCATCTCCCCCAACACGCAACGGAGAAGCAGCCCCATCCAGAACGCCGCTCCCGGCCTTCCAAGTGAGGGTCTACGCCAGTGGAGAACTGGAGGAGGTGGAACGCTGGGAAGTGGTGCGGAAGAAATGGGAGGAGAGGAGGGAAGGAAGCCGCCTACGGGGGCCGGGGTCAAGGGGTCGGGCTGGGGGCGAAAAGGAGCAGAAGAAGGTAGGAAAGGAGGGCTTGAGGCGAAGCTACGGCCTAGCCTAGGAACTCGATAGGAGAGACCGGGGCCTGGGGACCGGGTTCAGGTGCCATTGGCGGCGAAAGGGGCGGGTGCCTGGCGTGCTCCGAGCCGGGGAGACTGCGACCTCCAGCCAATCGCCGCCTTCCCGTCCTGCCCCTGCGGGCGGGGCAGCCGGGGGCAACCCTTCGCCCGGCGCGTGCGGCGGTCGCGCCTCGGCGTTCGGCCCCGCCCCTCTAGGAGCCCCGCCCCCTAACAGTCCCCGCCCCTTTCGTGGCACGGGCCGCTTCCTGACGCGATTCCCCTCCCCCTCCGGGTTCGCACAGGGAGTCCAGACCCGGGCCGCCACCGTCACCTCGGCCGCTGCGGCCGCCATCGCCTTGTTCCCCCGCCTCTCACCATGGCCGAGGAGCTCTCTGCGGCCACGTCCTACACCGAAGATGATTTCTACTGCCCCGTCTGTCAGGAAGTGCTCAAGACACCCGTGCGGACCGCGGCCTGTCAGCACGTGTGAGTAGACGCCTCCTCCCCCCGCGCAGAGCCGGGTGGTTGTTTAGGCCCCGCATGCTGCCCTCGACCCCCGGCTGCGGCCTGGCGCTAGCTGAGCCCACCGCGGCCTGCCCGAGCGCCGCTAGCCCCGGAGGTCCCGTTCCCTGCCCGTCAGAGCCCCCGGCTGCCTTCCTCCCTTGCCTCGGGGCCGGCTCCGCGCGCCGGGCCCCTCAGCCCGAGCTCGGGGTTTCTCGGGTTCCCTCGTTTTCGCGTCCCCGGGGCAGTGGGCAGGCGGGTCCTGTGGCGTCTTCAGCCCCCGGAGGCCCCTCTCTTCTCCGCCAGGCCCGGGAGGAATCGCTGGGAACGTAGAGCCTTTTTGTTTCCTAGCAACGCGAGTGAGGCTGGGGTGTCGAGTGTCAAACCCGGCCCGAGGTGCCCGCTCCAGCCCGCCCGCCGCACTCCGTGACCTGCCCTGCTTTGAAGTTTCTTCTTTCAGAACCTCGGTCCATCCCTTTCCGTCCGAGAGCTCTTAGTCTCATTCACCTTCAGCACCGCTCCGTAGACCACCCTTTAGAACGTTTTGTTTAAAATTCGGTATCTGTTAGAATGGTCTAGAATGAGTTTTTTTCTCTCCTGTGTTAGATCTGACAGGATTTCCGGGTATTGAAGTGATAGTTTCCCTTTGTTTTACCCTTCTGCGCATCACTTGGTTACTACGGGGTGGAGATAAAGGAATACTTGCTATGAGGGATGGACTGAAAATGAGGTACTAATTTTAGGGGTGAGGGAGAACACAAAGGGACTAGGTGAGATAGCATGGTGCGTTTGATTTGGCATATTTGTAGGAACTTTGATAATTTTATAGACTGCTAGAGTGTCAGTAGGGTTTGGAAAGAGCTATTCTTGAAAAGGGAAGGTGTATAGAACTTGTGACAAACCTGCTTGATGACTGGAGTTTTTAAGCGAACACACCAATTCCCAAGCTCCATTCCAAACTTACAAAAGAATTTCGGGCAGGCGGGGCCTGGAAATCTTTGTTTTAAAATACACTCAGTGCCTGGCGCGGTGGCTCACGCTTGTAAATCCTAGCACTTTCGGAGGCCGAGGCGGGAGGATTGCTTGAGTCAGGAGTTCGAGACCAGCCTGAGCAAGAGCGAGACCCCGTCTCTACTAAAAATAGAAAAATTAGCTGGGTACAGTGGTGCGCGCCTGTAGTCCTAGCACTTTCGGAGGCCGAGGCGGGAGGATTGCTTGAGTCAGGAGTTCGAGACCAGCCTGAGCAAGAGCGAGACCCCGTCTCTACTAAAATAGAAGGAAATTAGCCAAACAACTAAAAATGGAAAAAACATTAGCCGGGCATGGTGACACGTGCCTGTAGTCCCAGCTACTCCGGAGGCTGAGGTAGGAGGATCGCTTGAGCCCAGGAGTTTGAGGTTGCTGTGAGCTAGGCTGATGCGACGGCACTCTAGCCCACGCAAGAGAGTGAAACTCTGTCAATCAATCAATCAATAAATAAATAAAATAAAATACACTCAGGCTTGAAAGTTTTGTGTGCTTGCAAACAGCTGAAAAGAATTGACCACACTTTTTTTTTGTTTGTTTAATGTGGGGCTCTATAATTTTGTAAAGGATGGATTGGATTTTGGGTTCTTAATCACAACTGTCATTACTGCAGTTGTTGATAACTCACTGTTGTTCTGTTCTTCAGTCTTAACGGTGCTGTCTACTTTTCTTCCTATTCTGTGCTAGTTCTGGGAGCCAAGAGTGTTGGCTTTTCATGATAGAAATTATCCCAGTTATGTTTTTGCTCTTTAAGGGAGATGAATGACAATCTGAAATTCCTTTTACTATTTAGTGCAGCAGATGCAGATTGTCAGAAAAATACTTTGAGATGTCTAGAGCACAATATATGCTTTTTTGCCTTTAATCTATCATTATCATAACTTGATGCCTGTCCTATGTTAAAAAAAATTGAAATGCTGTGCTGGCAGTGGGTGGAAAGAAGGGAGGTCAGGAAGGTAAAATGAGAGGAAGTTATAGTAGCTGCTAACTGTATGTAGACATAGTAGGTCTATTTTGGACAGAATCATTTCAGCCACCCTTTTGTTCATTAACCTTATAAAACTCATTGAAATTTTTCACTCCTCTCAAAATTTCACACACATTGCTCTAGTCCACTTCCTTGTAGTGTTACAAAAAGTGTTACAGCGGGTGGTCTGAGGACAAACTGAGCGGTGCACGGAGAGTCGAAGAGAGTTTATTCACCCGGCGGGCTCAGAGGGGTCTTGCCACCAAATTCTGAGCCCTGTCTACCTGATTTTTCCCACTTTTATTAAGTTAGGGCGGTCCGAGGGGTGGGGTCTCAGGTGGCTAAGGTAATAGGTTAGTTGATGTGTCAGGTAATAGGTTAATATTATGTTGGTGCGCCAGATAATAGATTAGTTGATGGGCCAGGTAATAGGTTAGTATTATGCTGATGTACCAGGTAATGGATTAGTTGATGGGACATGTAATAGGTTAGTATTATGCTGATGCAGGTCTTCCGTGAGGAGTGAGGGCTAGGGGTCTCAGGTGGCTGATGCCCCAAGTAATGGATGGGGGTTTTCCTTATCATTCCCCCCTTTCATGCCCTTATATGTCTACTATAGGGCATCATTTCCCAGTGAGTGATAGCCATGTAAGACCATCACGTGAACTGTTGCTCTCCAGGTTACAGTTGTCGCTACGAATTTTATAATTGTGTTTAGTATGTAGGGGCCTGTAATGGTGCCAGTCCAGTATTTCTTTCCCTGCTGTGGCACACCTGAACCTGACTATAACATGTCTTTGGCATGTAGGTGTGGACTGTGAAACCTCCTGTCATCCAGAAGCCTTGAGTAATCCCATTAGTGGAGGAAATCCAAGTCCTAGCATAACAAGCCTCAGGGCAGGGTTTCTCTGCCATAGTTGTTAGGGTGAGTGCCCCAACCAGGAGGAGGGTAGGGACTGAGGCAGGAGTAGACATTTTGGACTGAGCCAAAATACCAGTTAGAGACGACCTCTGCAGTCCAGTCCAATCTCCTGGAGCTACCGAGAAGAGTCCAATCCCCAGTAAGGTCACTACAGCCCCAACGGGGGCTGGGGCCAGTGGTCCCATTTACTCCTGTTCAGTCCTGGGTGTGGCTGTTCTCGTTGGGAGATGGTTAAGCTGGATCTTTAGTGGGTTCTGCTGGTCCAGAGATCAGTTTCGTTGTCTGGTTCAGCCTTTTTCACCCAGGAGCGATGGATCCCCAGAGTGATAGCTGCAACTTTAACAGCAGTGGGAGTAACTAGTATCACAGCATGGGGACCCTTCCAGGTGGGCTCTAGGGGTGTTCTTTTCCAGTCCTTTATCCAGACTAGATCCCCAGGTTGGTGGGGGTGGACAGGGAGACCCAGGGCGATAGGGTTTTTTTTCTAGGACGGCGTGGTGGATATGGCACATAGTTTTGGCTAAGGCTTGGAGGTGTGTGTTTATATTCAATTCCCCTAGATGTCAAATGTCTCCCCTTAATGGCTTGATGAGTAGGAGAGGTCTACCAAACAGGATTTCAAAGGGTGAATATCCCATGGGCCCCGGTGTGTACCTGACTCTGAATAGGACTAGGCTTAGCATGTCTAAGGGTCAGCCAGTCCCAGGGTAATTGTGTTTCCTGACATAGTTTCGTTAGAGTGGTCTTGAGGGTTAGAGTGGTCTTGAGGGTCCGGTTCATGTGCTCTACTTTCCCTCAGCTGTGGCCTGTAGGTTGTTACGTAGTCTCCGTTTGATTCCTAGTGCCTTGATGAGAGTTTGCAAGACCTCCGCAATGAAGCGTGGTCTGTTGTCACTGCCAAAGGGGAGTGGTAGACTGTACTTGGGGAAGATATCTCTCAATAGAAACTTTGCCACTTGCCTAGCCTTTTCGATCCGGGTGGGGACTGCCTCGACCCGGCCTGAGAAAGTGCATATCACTACCAGCAGGTATTTATAGCCCCGACATGGTTTTACTTCTCTGAAATCAATTTCCACATCCTTGAACGGAGAGGTTCCGGTTCACTGAATTCCTGGGGCGGGTCTCGGCCTGACCGCTGCATTGTTTTTAGCATAGGTCTGGCAGCGGCCCGCTGACTGCTGCAGCCATAGATGGAAGTTTGGAGATATAATAGTACCGGGCGAGTAGCGCTATGAGGGCTGTTTTCCCTAAGTGAGTCTGGTTGTGTTGTCGGGAATCAACAGAGTATGCTAATTTATTAGGGATAAAGATGTTGTGGTTCTGTAGGTGCCACCACCCATCTGCGTTCTTGGCCTTCTCCTGCTCTGCCCACTGGTTCTCTTCTGGGGTATATTTTGGTTCTTCGGGCCACTGGTGGGGGAGTTGTCCTCCACCCATACCAACGGAAAATCCTGCTGGAAGTCAGATGGGTTCTGTTCCTCTTTGGCCTCCTTGTATAGCTTCCATTCCGATTCCTGGGGCAGGGTGACCACCATTATGAGAGTCTCTGGAGTGCCGAGCGTGAGGCTCGCGGTCCCTTCCCGGTGGAAGGTGATCTGGGCTTCCAGTTTGCTCAGGAGATCTCCACCTTCTGAGTGCCTCTTGTCTGCTCGGGGAGTTGAAATCCCAATCCGGGTTGGTTTCGGGTGCTGCTTTCTGTGCCCACTGCTCCACGTCCAAGGTCCCTCTTAGAGCCTGGTCCTGGAGCCACCTCCAGGTCCCAGCTACAATCCGGTGTCGTTCTTCTGTGTTGAAAAGGGTCAGAAGGAGCTGGTGGCAGTCTTCCCAAGTGAGATGGTGAGTCTGAAAGATGGATTCCAGGAGGTCAATGAGGGCCTGAGGTTTTTCGGAGTACGGCGGGGTGTTGTGCTTCCAGTTCAGAAGGTCAGTGAGTGGTGAAGGGCTGGTAGTACAGGACTGGCTGACCTGGCTGAATGGACCCATCGTCCGTAACCTGCGTCGGACCTCGCACCTCATGCAGGGGCATCTGGAGGGCTGAAGTTGGGGCCTGAGCTGACCATAGCCGGCGGGTGATGGGAATGTCGGCTCCTGGTTGGTCTGGAACTGGCAGCAGGGAGACTGACGGTGGCAGGGTGTCTGGTGGATTTGGGGGTACTTCAGGAGGTGTCACGATAGGGTTGTAGGGCCGTGGTGGTGGATCCTCTTCAGGAGCTTCCTGATAGATGGGTTTGGACAGTTCGGAGTCTCTGGTCCTCTGGGCCACAAAAGTCCTGCTCTGTCCCTTATTAGCACAGAACCGGACTCAAGGGGGCATGGTCTGAGCAATCTCTAGCCATGAATCTATGTAAGGAAATTGATCCGGGCTGTTGGGAGTCCCGGTCACGATTCTCCAAACTGGTCACACGGTGGGGAGGTCTAAGGTTCCTGTTGCTGGCCAGTCGACCCTGAATGTGGGCCATTTGTGTTCACAGAGGGCCCTAAGTCTACTGGGACTCAGTGTGATGCCGTAATCTCCCGTGAAACCCTTCTTAAAGTTCTTTAACATACATTTAAGGACTGTAGGCTTAGATTCTACGCTACTCATCCTAGACCCTTGAATGGTGTTGCAACTTAACAGACAGGGGGGTGGGGTGGGGGGGTTCTCTCAGGTGTCCGCCTGGCTGTGTCCCTCTCGGGAACTTAGGCGCGTCTTGGCGAAGGTGCCCGTATAAACCCCGGGCCTGGGGTTCGCTCCCTTTTGGGGAGTGAATCACCATTATGCCGTACGACGCTGCCGCAGAACGGCAGGTGAGGACCCACTCAAGTTCTGTAGCCGTAGCTGTAGAATGACAGTCACTCTTCACTCACTCATTCAGACAGGCAGAGGTTACACCTTCCCACCCTGGGAATTCCCTGCACTCAGGAGGTGATCAAGCTCCTCTTCTGTCCTCTGATGAGCCTGACTTGGATGGGTCCCGGGACCTTACCTGGTCTGATGCCTCCAAACCTGATTCAACTTGTCCTTCCCTCTGGCGTGTCCAGGTGAGTTCGGGACTCCGTGGCTGGCGGGAGCTCCCGAGGAGCGAAGATATTCCGCAAAATGGTGGTTGGCGCCGGTTTGCTTCTGTTGCTGAGGTCCTGCTGGTTGCTGCACCTGTCCCCGAATTGGTGGCTTCAAGGGGCCAGCACGGTCGGTTTTCCTGGTCAGGGAACCAAAATGTTACAGCAAGTGTTACAGCGAGTGGTCCCGAGGACAAACGGAGCCGCACACGGAGAGTAGGAGACCGTTTATTTGCCCGGCTGGCTCAGAGGGGTCTCGCCACCAAATTCTGAGCCCTGTCTACCCAATTTTTCCCACTTTTATTAAGTTGGGGTGGTCCGAGGGGTGGAGTCTCAGGTGGCTAAGGTAATAGGTTAGTTGATGTGTCAGATAATAGGTTAATATTATGTTGATGCGCCGGATAATAGATTAGTTCATGGGCCAGGTAATAGGTTAGTGTTATGCTGATGTGCCAGGTAATAGGTTAGTAGTATGCTGATGCGGGTCTTCCGTGAGGGGCGGGAATCTCAGGTGGCTGATGTGCCAAGTAATAGTTGGGGGTTTTCCTTAATCAGTAGGACATTTTAAATCAAGGACTATAATTTGGCATGACCTCAAGGCTGTGGAAAAGAGTGGAGATGATTGCTTTTTAATTTAGGACGTTTCTCTAATCACCTCATTGTGCTTAGATGGTTCTGGCTGAACAATGAATTAAAGAATAGGCAGAGGGAGAAAATGTTGTATTTGGAAGGGGTGATAATGGCGAAACAGTGTCTTGATTGGCTGGAAGGAGTTTGGTGGGGAAAAGGAGAGAATTGTGTTTTTTTAATTATTATTATTTATTTATTTATTTTGAGACAGTCTGGC